GCCACCACAGCCCCTCGCCTCCCCGTGTCCCCCCCCCCGGACTCCCCTCCACCTCCCCCCCAGGGCTCGCCCTCTGCCAGCGTGGGGACGTGGCCCTGGAGAGAAGGGGTGAGCCTCTGGTGTTGGGCAAGTCCCCACGGACACAACGTGCTGCCCTGGTCTGGATGCCTTCAATCGCACCACGGGGGTAGGAGGCCCTTCAGGTCTTTTTCCTTGTAGAGGAAAACCCCACAGTGCCTCATTTTTTTTTCTGTGCTTGGCCCCCAATGACCTCCGCAGAGCAGAGTGTGGCACTTCAGAATCCCAGATGCTTTTAGGGGAAATGATGTGTTGTCTAAAGCATTGCTTGAATTTTTTATCTGGTGTGCCTTAATCCACGTGGCATCAGGCTCACGCTGAATTATGACAAGGATCAGACACCCACGGTGCTGGGCTATGAAGCTATGCAGCATGTGGGAGTAACCTGCACGTAGACGGATGTGAGAAATCTTGACAAGGACCCTAAAGGGGACAATCACTCCCGAAATCTCATTCCAGATGAGGATTTCCTAGTCCACCCATAGAAGGTGCTGCTCGGGCCTGGCTGTTGCCTACTATTTATGGAACGATGGCACAGTTTAAGTCCCCAAAGATGAGAGAAGCTCAGCTTAGTATCTCTGCTGACAGATAGCAATATTCAGGGATCAATGCCATTGCCCACAGAGAGTTGTCCTCTGCCACACGAGATGTTTCAGGGTATCTTCTGGGCCCCCAGGCAGGAATGCACTGGTAAATCCAGTGTCATTGCTGCCAGCCCCGTGTGGATGACCTGGGCACTTTTGACCAGCTCAAACAGCATTAGGCTCCTTCACGTGCGACTCATTTGAGCCCCAAGCCTGCAAATTGCTCCCTAAATTCTGCCCACTAACATCCACCCTCTGCGTGGGGTGAATCCGCAGTTTCCTATTGCAAATGCAAGAGGGCAACCACACTGACACTTGTGGCAATAGCCATAAATTCACATTAAAAGGCTTCAAGTAATAGCATTGCCGTGTAAAGACAGCCTTTGAAAAGCTTGTTTCCAAATGCTTAGCAGCAAGATTAGAAGGTTGCTGGCTCTTAGCTGTGAGCTTTGCAGATGCTAGGGGCTGGCAAAGCAAAATCTGTATCACATGAAAAAGTTGATCAGGTCTGACTCTCTCCTGCCGTGAGATTACTTTTCTCACTACAAAGCATTTCTCCTCACCAGTAAGTTCAAAGTACGTATGGGCATGAAGATAGCGTATTGTTCACCAGCTCACTGTTCTGCTGAGCAGCCGCCTCGCTTGTTCTCCGTCTCAGGTTATAAACAGTGTTGAGAAGCTGCAAAATTGCTCACAGCTTAAACGACAAAATCGTGATAACCCAGCCTATCTTACCCTACTGTGAGCTCTACTTTAATAATCCTGCTTAATCATTAAACCACAGTAAGAGCAAGGCAAGGAGTTTAAGGCAAGAGCCAAGCCAAGGCGTATCAGAGCACTGCTCAAAACTTGAACAGAGCACAGTCAGCTAGAGACAGAGGAAGCCACATAAAGAGATTGCAGAGCTGTTGTGCAAAGGGTCAGAAAGATGTGGCAGAAAATTCCTATCTGTTGGGACTGGCTGAAGGAGCCAGAGCCAGCTGTGAGCTGCTCCTGCTAGTCAGGACTCTGCAGTGGTGCCCTATTTACATCCTTTTCCCAGGAGACCATCTTGTTATCTAGCACACACACTCCATTCAAGCCTTGCTGTTGACATAGATGCTTTGACTAACCCTTATGCCTGATGATTATTGACTGTAACAGTGGCTGCTGATTATTTTCCAGAATGCTTTACCCTCCACGAAAGGGTACAAAGACAGCAAGTGGACACATCTATTCTTCGCCCACCGTGCTGCATATTGTCTTATGGCAAACTGACTTTTTCTAAGGACATTTCATACAGAGGTGAGGTTAACTTAAAAAAAATAATGGAAAAGCAAGAAAGGAGATAATATAAAGAAAAATAAAACTTGAGAAGACACACTGCTTTGGTCACGCAGCTGGAGACACTGAGAACAGGGTTAGCCCAAGCCCTGCCCATGGATGCAACCAGGACTCGCACTGATTCCAGCGGGATTATTCACGTGCGCACGTGTGCATGACAGACAGAACAGATTTGGACCTTATTGCTTTGACTTTTCCAGGATGCTCAATTTATTTGTGCATTTCAGGAAACAGACCAGTACAGTCAGATGTTCTGTACCTGGGTTCCCCTTCCCCCACCCCGAAACAGAAATAATTGTAGGCTAAAAGCATCACCCATGCCAGAAGATGAGAGAGCCAAATCCTTTCCAAGGCAAAGGACTCACTGAAATCACTGGGGTTTCACCTGAGTGAGGACTCACCGAAGAACTTCACCACAGTCTGTGACGATTTAACTGAAGAGACAATGACTCAATTTTGTATTTTCAGACCGAAATAATAGCCTGGATGGGGGAACGCTCTTGCCTCAGCTTCCTTGAAAGCGGGGAGTGACAGGATTGGTATTGCTGAGATCATTCCAGAATTTGGGTTACCGTGCAGAAAACTGACTCATGTTTTGCAGTCCAAAATGGGGCATATTTTGTCTTCATTGTCTCGCTACCACCTCTTGTAGGATTTGACTGCAGCATGGAAGCATCCTGATATAACTTTACAGTGCATCGTGGTGTTGTTACTGTAGTAACTTATTACTAGGACACCTTGTGTTATCTTTATTGCTGCAGTACCTGATACAAATGTACCACCATTTGTCCGCACACACCATTATTACTGCCTTATTCCCCAAACTAATTTACTGCAGCGTCCTGTTGTGTCTTATTGCTGCATTATCAAAATGCTACTTTACTGCAGCGGCCTGTGTTACCTTATTGCTTAATTTATCCTGGTATTATTATGTCAGCTTACTGCCACTTTTTATGGCTGCCCTGCTACCATTTTATTACAGTACTCTATGGGATCTTAGCGCTGAGTTATACTGAGAGTACATTAATCCATTTGCTTTAGCCTAACGCTGTCTGCACAGTCTTGTCGAACCTTCCTAGTGCTTGTCCTGGTGCTGTTGTGCCACAATAGCCACAAATGCTCTGGATACTCTATTATCCAAGTAACAGTGTACAGCCATATTTCACAGCCATCGCCCTGTAAGTATGGGAAGCTTTGTAGCTCGCTTGCACAGCATGGACATCATAAAAGCTTTCCAGACTGCCTTTCCTTGAAACAATGCCTTTTAGAACATAAATAGAGCTGGAAAGCTGATTTCCTAACTCATCTTCAGGACGATGAGGTAGTTGGAAGACATGGGATGCTTATAAAGCAGCAGATTCCTGCTTGCAACACTCAATGGGATACCGGTGAGTGTACAAGAGTAGCATCACTTGGAATAAGCAATGTCATTAAAAAGCAGTAATTGAAGGATGCGGTTCATGTGGAAGTAATTACATGTTAGTATCATCATATGTGAAGTAAAAGACACGTGAGGAGCAGGTCATACGTGTTCCCAGGGGGAGGTCTTGTCTACTCTCATGTTTGTTTTAGAGAAATTTAGTCAGGAAATGAGGAGCAGAGCTTTCTTCTCTCCAGAGAATATGCAGCTCTGTCCGCTCAGCTAGCCATTACTGAGCAGATTAGCTTGCACGAGTGTGCATTTAAATGGCAAGCTGTTCAGCATCCAGGCCCCCTGATGTACGCCCATATGCATGCTCTCTGTGTCTGTAAAAATTCCCTCCATGCACTCAACTGTTCAAACACAGCATATTCCCCACAGGCAAAACACTGTGGCAGCCAACACGACCGTCCTGCAGGAACGGAGCAGCGGGGCAGCAGCACATCTCCAAGTTAAAGTCCGGCATTCCTGCTCCCTGCACAGACCGTAACCCAAATTCCACCTGTCCCGTGCACCCGCCAGCATCCTTCAGTCCTGCCCACGTGTGCCCCCATGCTGCAAGACACTGAGGAGTATCTCCATGGAGCTACCCCATCCTTCCCCTGGAGAAGACCTGTCCAGCGTCAGGAACTCACTGCAAAGCAGAGACCCCCTGGTAACACCTAGCCACCTCTGCTCCTTGCTATACACCAGAATTTCACTCTTTAGGCAATTCAGCAATGCTCTGCAGAGCAGTTCGGGGGTTCACAGGACAGACCTCCCGTGGGAAATGCCTCAGCCTACAGGCTGGGCAGCACCGGCAGTGGAGTAGCTTGGGGTGTGAGCAGCTGTTGGTTTACAGAGCTACAGCGACGCTTGGCAATGACACAGATGAAAACACCGTCAACAAGGCTCTGAGAAGAGCCAGCCTTTGCATTTTCCTAGGGATGACGTAAGGGGACACGTATGAATGTGCATGAATGGACAACCGGGCCTGTTACACGAAGACCCGCTACTACCCGAGGGGACCCTTTGGCTGGGTGGGCAACAGAGGACAAATGGGTCCTGCAAGGACAGCTAAGTGACAATTTGGAGGGGACCAAATGTCCCCTTCAGTGGCAGGACACCACATGAATATCCAGGCACATCCATGATGGTTCTGCAGTCCTGGAACTCTCTTGTGTGTCATGTATGTGTAGGACGCATTTGGTCTAAAGACCTCAGACAGCAGGCTGTTTATGGGAATAGGCGTGTGTACAGAACAAATATCATACTCAGTATTCTACTGTACATTCATGCAGCTGTAGAGGGTCTTATGGACCTTAGGTAAAATCGATCATAGGAGTTTTCTGGAGAAAAAAAAAAAAAAAAAGAGGTATCAAAATAAGAAATGTCATGGGTAAAGAGGGAAGGTCCTTTTTTCTGACAGAAACTATTCTGGCCTGATTTTGTGCATTCATAGGCCTTAGATATTAGAATAATACTTGCCTCAGAAGTGAGTATTATCAATAGCCAGCTGTCTACTTAGCTAGATGGTTTTGCCTAGGTAGGAATGCAGACTTGTAGCCATATAGCAATTTCTACCACCTGCACAAAAAGCCAATTTGCCTTGGCATGAGTGAAGAAGACCAAGAAATGTCCATTTTTACATATGCTTCAGATCTGAACTGCTTGCAAAATACAGGAGGTTTTGTGGCATTAAGTCAACTGATTCTTGAAATTTTCCTGTATAGGCAACGTACTGTATGTGAATGCAGTCCATTTTCCTATCTGCAGCTAGTATACGTGGGTTTTTTAATTAAAGTCACTTCAGTTCTGTCCTCATCCTAAATTCCATACTCCCAACAGCCTGAAACAAGCTACTGAGTCATCTCCTGCAGTTGTATTCATGGGCTGTAGGTCAGATGAGTTTTAGTGGAAGCTCATTTCCTCCTGTGCTATAATTTCACTCTTACAATGGTGCTTCTCAGTGGAGTCAGTTATCTGAGCATTATATCACAGCTGGGTGCACTGCTGTTTAGGAAGGTTTACCTGGCACCCAGCGCCCTGCCCATTCACGCACTGCTGCTGCCAGTCCCATCACCATCAATTCCCTCCTCACTGTAGACTGAATTTTGACACGTGCCCACATCAGAGTTGCCTTTCCCTGTATACACATGAGCAGATTTTGGCCCTCTGTGATTGGAGTCAGAGTCCAATTCTATCTATCTACTTGGAGTAAAGCTTGAACATCCATCATTGAGTAAGTATGCAAAACCTTAAATAAATAGAAAATCAAATACAATATAAAACAACTCACTTTTAAGTACCGCGCATGTATGTGTGTGTTTGTGTGTGCGTTACACATCTAAAACATGACTTTTTGAGCATCAGGCAGAGTCTGATAACATTTGCACTACACGCACATGCAGAGCGATTCCGCCGACATCAGAGGATTTGCACCAGGATCAGAGTCTGACTCAATGGGGCAGATCCTCAGGTGATGAAAACCACTCATGCTCTCCTGACTTCAGCTGAGGATCTGGCCATCATCTCTGGACATGCTACATGCTATTGGAAGGACGGTGAGTGATGAACTTCAATAGTGCCTTTTTTTCCCATTGCTTTAAAGGAGGAGAGACATAGGAAAGAAAAACAAAGTTAAAGTCAATGAGTCTGCAGGAGAAATGCATTTGAGATTTTGTGAGAAGGAGAAGCAGCTTCCAGCAGATATTTCATTGAATTCAGACGGCCACGAGAAAGGGAGCAAGTGAGATTGCAGTGCCATCTATTACAGCTATGTTTGTGCCAGGGAGAGAAGAGATGAAGGAAAAATACTGACGTCTCTCAGCTCTTCTTTCTCTAAGTTGCAGTCGGGTCCGTTTCTTTAAATAACAGGACAGCAAGCCCTTGCCTCGTTGGCTTTCTGCATACGGTGAAGCGTGCTCCTCCAAACCCCGGTTGGAAACAAAGAACCCGCGCAGGGCTCTGCGTCCTTACAAAGCTGCGCAGGTAGGAAAGTGTTGATGTAAACTGTGAAGAGAGGTGCTCCCCCCGGTGCGTGGCTCTCCGCTTGTGCTCATTCAGGCTCTCTCCCCCGCAGGGACCCACTCTCCCCGAAATGCCCCATCCCCGGCAGCGGTCCCAGGTGTCTCTCCCACGGGGTGGTCGGCTGAAGCCGTCAGGAGGACTGCATCAGGCCCGTGAGGCGCTTGCTCGCCAGAGACTTTCCCTGGAGGGAGGGACAGACAGACAGACAGAAGAGACCCGGAGGCGTGAGTGATGCTGTGGGATGGTTTGGCTGCAAGTGAGGGGCAGGGGCCTTCCCCCGGCGCAGGGTGCACGGCTGCCCACCCTGGCCCTGCCGACAGGGAGGCAGGCGGTGGGGGGGTGAGCGTGCCCCCAGCATTTTGGGTTCCTGCTGTTTTGCCCCATGCGGGTGGTTTGGCGAGAAGGGGTTGGGGCTAGTGATGTCCAGGTGGCTATTGCTCAAGGCTGTGCCCCGGGACACTGTCTCGTGAAGATGTTTCCTTTCTCCAGTTACATGGAGAAACTGGTTAACTGGTGAAAGCAAAGCCCTGTCCTACGCTCGCTGCTACTTGTCCTGCCAGGAGCCGTCCTGCCGGTGCCAGGCCACGGCTCCCGTGCGGAATGCTACCCCAGGTCGGGAAGGGCTGCAAAACCAAGGCTGCAGTGACAGCTGGGATGTCCCTCTGGCAGCCTGTGAACCAGCATCACCTGCACAGTGTCCATCAGAAACAGATCTAGGGAAAAAAGTGATTTCAGAAATAGCTTAGCCTGTCCCTGCCCTGCCGCCCACCCCAGGCGCGTGGCCGTGGCAGCCTTGCTGGCGCGCTGCTGGCATCCACATGAGCTTTCCTGCCGACTGGCAGGACCAAGGACCAGGGAGAAGGTCACCTGCATGACTGAATCCTTTCACTGGCTTAGGCCATGCAGCCCCTGCTTTCAGGAGCAGCCGGTCTTCTCCATTTGCGGACAGTAGGAAGGGTATATCCCGATAGGGGATACTGATGGCTTTCTAATTACTGATGTAACAAGTGAAAAATTGTTTCATGTATTGCACCAGTTGCTGTGTTTCTTTGGTGAGCTTTCCTCTTGAAAAATTATGTTTTTCTTGGGAAAAAAAAAAAGTTTTGGTTGAAATATACATCCAGGGAATACCAGAGAGCTGTGGAATACCTAGCAGCTCTTAAACAACCTCCTCTATGTTACTATATTTAGCCAAGACTTCCTTTGCAATAGAAAGTCCTACTAATTGCTGTTTGAAAGAAAGCCACAAAAAGAGCAAGAGAAACAGATTATACAATGAAAACAAGTATGTGCAAAATGTAGGAAAATTTGAAATGTAAATTTTAGCAGTTCATTTGAAATAAGCCTTCTTTAACAAGTTAACACCCTAAGAAAAAAGAAACACTCCCCCTCCCTTTGATTTCTAATCTCTTCCCATTTAGGGCTCTTCCAGGAGGAGGTAACAGGTCCCTATAGAAGCCTCATTTCGTTACTCAGATGGGTACCTTTTACCAAATAATTTGCTCAGCTGCACAAACACACATAGCCTAATCTGGCCACTTTCTGTATATCAGCAGTCGGCTGCTGGGAACACTGTTGTCATTCAGACTGTCCTGCCCAGGACGAGAGAGTCACGGTCACAGTTCCGTGGCTTCTCTGCCTCTACAACGGAGCTTACACCCCGGGCATGGCTTGGGAAGGACCAGCTCCCTCCCAGAGCTCAGCACACACGCCAGCACCGCTGCCATTTAAGGCATGTGTGCTTTCTTTCACTATAAATAAAATTCTTTATTATTATTATTATTATTTTTAAGTGCACTTCTGGGAAGCTCGGCCCAGTGCTACCCCAGGAGGTGGCCAAGTCTTCTGCGGGGCAACACGGCAGCACTCGCAGGGCTGCAACCGCGGCTGTCAGTGTGCTGCCAGTAAGGAATACCGGAGAAAGAGTGCTAAGGAATTACCAGTTCCTGAATCCCATTTATAGGAAGAAGGTAGTAAAGATGTGGATGTTAATTTCTGGAAGAATAGCACAGCTGGTTTTAGAAAAAAAAAACTCAGTTTCTGCCTATATTTGGATACTTCCTTAGGAAAAAAAAAAACCCTCATAAGCCTTGGGTTTGTATAATGACTATTCAGTCAGACTCTTAACTAATCTGCGACATGCATTTCATCTTATCTTCTCGCAGGCAGGCGCCTTGGGGGTACGCCAGCTCCCTGCGTCAGGGTCCAGTGAGGGTGAGGAGCAAACGCTGTTCCACATCCAGCCCCAATTTCAACGTGCACGTGTTCAAAGCAGGAAGGGGGAAATTCCAGTGCCGGGCCGGACCGAGGGGAAGGGGCACCTGGCAGAAAGGCCGCCCTGGAGAAGGTGGCAGGTCGGCAACAGAGACGATGGCTGTGGTTTGCGCAGAGCAAAACTTCGCTCACGGCTTTCCCGGTGGCAACTGCTCGCTGTCGTGGCCAAAACGTGGGCTCCATCTGCAGCTCCCCCACCTCAGGGGAAAGGTGTTAGCCCGGGAACCCAGACCCAGCGGCTGGCTCTGCCGCAAACTTGCCGCCCGCAGGCTGGGACGAGTCCCCAGCGTGGAGCCCAGCTGTCCGGGAGGATAAACTGCGTCAGGGAAGCGTGAGGTGCCGAACAGCCTCGCGCACGGGGACGGGCAAACAGATGGGTGCGAGAAGCTCTGTTTTAAGACGGCGAGAAGCAGGCAGTAATGTTGTCTGCTCGGCTGTTGTGTCCACCTCTGTGACAAGACAGATGGTGAAGGGATCCCTGGAATCGCACAGAGGGAGTAATGCTGTGAAATTTTTGGCTACAGGCAAGAGCGCTGGGGTGTAAGTAAGTGTAACGTTCAGCTTTGGTACCGAAGTGGCCCCCAACTACAGGCGTACTGATGTAGGGGCTTTTGTTTCAACCCAATGCAGAGACAAGCATCAGCCTCACGGCATGGGTCTGAGCGATAGGAACATCTGTGGGCTGGAGGTGGGTGGGATGCAGGCATTCGGTTTGGGATTCTCTCATCTTAGACATCCTCATTAAAATAAAGACGATCAGGAAAAAACTGCATTTCATTAGGAAAACTGGTATCTGTTTCCTGGTACTAAAATGAACAACAAGGGAGCAAAACGTTGTGTCACAGGTGGAAATGCTGGATGGAATCCACTTGCTGAGGTAAATCAACATGACTCAGTGGCTTTCACAGAACCGCTGCCGATTTACACCAGTTGAGGGGCTAGCCCACGGCATTTTTGTTTCAGGTTTAGCCCTCCGGGGCTTCTTGGGCACAAAATCCAGCAGGAGACACAAAAGGTTTGTGCTAGCCGGCTGATAAAAGCCAAAGCGTAGCACACCCCACAGCTCCTTCGGGATGGCGCAGCGGCTCCCTCCCCAGACGGCCGGCGCTCTCCCCAGGACCCCCGGCCTGTCCCTCCAAACCCACCCGCCCCTGCTCGCTGGGAGGGTGCCCATGGCCATGCCATGCGATGCCTTAGCCTCACCGCTTTCCTGCGCCCGGAAAAAAGGCGTCGGGGTGACCAGGCGAGGGTGGCCCATGTCCACCTCGAGAGAGCAGAGGCGAGATGCACCCGTGTTTTTGGCGATCCTGCGAGCCTTCCCTGAGGCTCGCGTGGTGTGAGCGCCTGAGTCAGTCAGGTGAAGGGCTGCTCTGAGAAGCTGGAGGTGGCTAAATCAGTTCGTAGTTGGGTGCAATACATGCCAAGAAAGTTCAGGCTCAAGAGGTCATGTTGGGTCTCATCTGACACTCAGCCGGGATTCCCTCAGGGAGATCTCTGACGGAGTGAGGAAGTTTTGGATTATTACGATGTGAAAGTTTGGCACAAAGAACACTTAGTTTCTTTAAGAACGTCAACCAAAATAAACGATTTTTTCCTTCCACACGTCTTTGTTTAGTGTGAAACCAGTGGCCACCCGCACATTTCTACCTCTCTTTTCCCCACTGAAAGAAAATGTCAACAACTCCTGCCTTATTTCCAGGATAAATTTCATTTAAGCTGTGCTGGCAGGGGATTTGGAAAGCATACGATTTCAAGCTTAGCACACTACAGTGCTGCTTTTACCCTGTCGTACACATATGTTGAATAACTTAAGGCAAGATTAGAGTGAATGTAAGGAGTAAACTTTTTACACAGAGTCTAAAGCTTATAAAGAAATCCCCAGTCCTCCCATTGCAAAATATTTGTCACTACTAATTAGGGTTACAACAATTAAAAACCCAGACTGTTGTCACTCAAACAGCATAGCACAAGCAGTAGGGCATATGTTGTAGGGCATATGTTGCGTGTCTTGTTGGATGCAGGAAGGCTTTCTTTTCACTCATTCCCTGCAAGCAGCTGAGCTGTAACACAGCTTTCAGGCAAGGATGACGTGCAGCTTCACCACACCTTGGCACAGGTAATGTCCGGTTCTCTCTGGGCAGCCAAATGCATGATTTTGTTTTTACCCCTGAACACTGGCATGCTAGGAGCCTCAGTTTTTAGAGGCAGTGTAAAATCTGAATTTGGAGTAACCTAAGAAAAATGTCAGGGAATTCTGGGGAACTGCCCCCCAGAATCTGACTTCCAAGTATATGGCCCACCCTACTGCTTGGCTACACGTCAGGCAGAGGACCAGACCTTCAGGGCTCTCACTGAGGCCCAGTGAAGTGAAGATTAACCTGTAGGTCACAGAAGATGCTTAGCATCTTTGATGGCTGAGCCTTTGCTGAGCAGCTACTAAACTAAAGTGTAAAATGCAATTAGCAATTATTTTAATGAAGCAGAATTCAGCAATTTAACGTGGGCAAGAAGCCAAGTGAGAAGAAAAAAAAATATGTATGGGCTTTGACACAAAAAGGAGACAGCACTCCTTTCAAACCTCCTGTATGAGCCACCTGATTTTCCATCTTGTTCTTTGCTTTGATCTACCCAAACTAGCACTTTGCATAGTTGGGAGAGAACGCAAAGGCTGTGAACTAACTTTTAAAAATAATTTAAAATAGAAAGTTCAGTTTTGTCCAGTACCTGTGGTTTCACACAATGTTAACGTGCTCTGCCCAGCACAGAGTGCGGTTCGTCTATCTAGCATGCAGACATTCACCACCACCAGCATGCACGAGCCAGCACTCCCATGCACGCCATCAACAACTTACCTGAACACCCAGGCAGGATTTATCCCATAGGGAGCTTTGTGGCTGCAGCGACGGG